TTTGTTTTCTCTCTCATTTTTCTTTCTGTGTCTCAGATTGATAATCTTAGTTAACCTATCTTCAAGTCTGCTTTTTCTTTTCATGTCTGTTCTCTAGCGAATTTCTTGTTTATTGTACTTTTTATCACTAGAATTTCAATTTAGTTTTTTATTATGCTTTCATTTTAATTGATACTTTCTTTTTGGTGAGACATAATTCTCATATTTTCTTTTAGTTTTTTATATATGGTTTTCTTTAGTTCTTGAATATTTTCAAAATAGCTGATTTAAGTCATTGTCTATAAATATAATGTTTGGGCTTCCTTAGGGACAGTTTTTATTGTTGCTCTTTTCCTGTGTGTGGACCATACTTACTTGTTTCTTTGCATTTCTCTTAATTATATTTTGAACTTCTGGGCAATTTAAATAATATAATCTGGCAACTCTGGAAATTAGATTCTTTCCCCTTTTCAGGATTTATTATTGCTTTTGTTATTGTTATTTGTTCCGTGACTTCTATGAACTAATCCTTTTTAATCTTATTCACTGGTCAGCTAATGATTGGACAGACTTTCATAAATGCCTGGACACAATAAATCTCAACATCTTCCCGAGGGCTCTGTACATGATGGGGAATGCTATGCCTTCACCACTCTGAGCAGTTGACAGCTCTGTCTAAGTTTTCATACTCTGCTTTCACAGAGCTTCATCATCAACCCAAAGTGAGCTCAGGTCTTCTTTTATCTTTCCTGTGTGTATACACAGCCCTTGAACCCCTGAAGACATTTCATTCCCTAGTTTTTCTTTTTAAGTTTTTCTTTTCAACTTTTGCTTTTCTCCCACAGGCAGTCACAATCTTAAGCAACTGTATGTGATTCTCCCCTTCCCTCCAACAAATGCCCCCAGCAAAAAGACTATTTGTACTGAGCAATCTCTAAGTCAGATAGAGACAGCCTTCTGAGTGGAGGCCTCCAGGGAACCAACAGGTCATTTAATGACAGTTTTCTGAGCATGGGGCTTTGGAGGCACTGCAGTTGGCTCCTCTAATGACTGTGAGACTCCTGATTTTCAGTATGAAGAGACTGTTACTTTTCCAGTAATGCAGCTGAGGAGATGGGGATAGCAATATGACTTGTCCAGTTGCCACAAAGCTCCCTGTTCAGATTCAGAATCAGCCATTTTCCTTAAATAAATCCTTTCTGAATTACTCCAATTCTTTGACTAGAGTTCAGAAATAATTGGTTCTGATGATTTCTTCCAGTCTTCACATTGCTTTTGTGGAAAAGAGGCTTTTTAGATATCCTGAAGCACTGTTTTCACCAATATCAGTTGATTTGGGGTTTTGCATAGTTTACTTTATAACTTTTTATCATTTTTCTTGGTTCTAGGATGTTCACATTCTTTCAGTTCCTTTACTTTCCAGACATTGTATGGCACTTAGCATGTGTTGCTTTATTTTACTGGTATATTACCACCACTGTTACCCCACTATTAATACAACTGATAATAATATAGTGTGTTCTTTTAAACCATATGTTTCCTTATATGAATTTGCTCATATACAATTTTTATCAGGGAATATGTTGTTGTAGCACAAATCAAGTGGGAATAGACATGACCTTCATTAAGAGAAGAAAAAATATCCCTCAGTTTGGCACTTGGCTTCTGCAAGAGCCCTTTGATTTTATTTTAAGAAAATTAAAATGCACACTTTCATCTAGAGACCCCGCCCTGTGGAGGTACAGACCTCAGCCTCTGGCAGTTTGTGCTGGACATAGCCTCAGACTCCACGTGCACTGGTGTTCTCAGCACATGCCTACCCTGTTCTAATAAAACATTGTACACATTTCTATATTCTTTTTTAATATCTCTATACTACTCTACTACATTCAGTTACCTGCTTGAATAAACCAAGCTGCCTGCTCTATTCCCATAGTTTGTGTTAGTGTTAAGGGCTCTGTTTCCAAAACTACATAGGTTTTTGGTTTTGTTTGCTTTTTTATTTATTAATTTTTAACAACTACTATGGCCCTTCTAGCTCTTACATCTATTATTATTTCTAGGAAAGTTTGTAGAACAAATTTGATTTATGTTTTTCTGAGACTGGGGGGCATGTGATAGGAAGGAAAGAGCAGAAACCTTTGAAATATGATTATATTTGGATTGGGGCTCTGCAATAAAATAGCTGTGATGTTGGCATAGTTAAGTCTCAAGTGTTCCATTTATAAATGGAGATAGTAAAGTGGTTGTGAGGCAAATAATGTGTATAGGAGTTGTTACTTTGTCTTTCAGTTGATTACAAATTTGATAGTTCTGAGCTGTTGGTCATGAGCTTTTCTGTCAGATCTATTTGTTCCCTAACAGTTTTTTAAAATAAGTTTATTGTGGTATATTTCACATATTATAAAACTCGCCTTTTTAAAGTGTACAGTTTTAGTATATTCATCACAATCTAATTTTTAGAACATTTCAATACAACCAAAAAGAAACACCAGGCCTGTTAGCAGCTATTTCCATATGCTCAGGTTTTGAATGGACTATCCTAACCCTCTTTTTCCTTTAAATTGTTTAATTTTCAGTGTCTAGTTTGCTTAGAATGCCTGGTATATTAACAAAAATGTTTATATTATACTCTGGGCTTTTGTCCTCATTGCCAAGTTTCTTTTCTCATGTCACCATGACCTGTATTAGCTTTCTGTTGCTATGACAAAATACCTGAGATAATAAACTTAAAAGGAAGAAAGGTTTATTTTAACTTGTGGTTTCAAAGGTTTCAGTCTGTGGTCACTTTGGCCCTATTGCTTTGGGCCTGTGGTGGCATAGTACATCATAGTAGGGAGTGTGTTTTAGAGGAGGCCTGTTCGTGTCATTGTGGTGGACAAGCAAAGAGAGGAAAGGGGACAGGATCCCAATATCCCCTTCAAGGGTATGCCTTCTAATGACCTGTTTTTCTCCCACTAAGCCCTGTCTCACAAAGGTTCACCACTTCCCTATAGTGCCGTTGCTGGGAACCAAGGCTTTACATGAGCTTTTGGAGGATATTTCAGATTCAAAATAGAGCACCTTTGAAATACACCCTGAGTTTTTCCCAAATCAGACTGAAAGCTCCTTATTTGCCCCTGTTTGGCAATTGCCTTGTTGGCCACTCTGCCAGTATACTCTGCCTCCCTTAGTTAGGTGTGGAGTTTCCTCTTCCCATCTTCTGTCTGTGGTTCTGTCTCCGTCTGCTCAGCTGACCCATCTTGTCTGACTCTGGGTGTTCCCAAAAGTCCTGTCTGTGGCATTCTTCCTCTAATGCTGGGTGAGGTCATTTTTCCGTGTTTTTAAATGATATCCTTTTTAATATCTTTCCTGTTCCTGTCAGTAATTTCCTGTTTTGTTAGCAATTTGCTGTCCCATTGGGAATGTAAGTATGCCTGTTTCTTCACCTCTCCAACAATTTTGGGTTTACCTTTTTGAAATTTTGTTTTTAGTGTGTTTTTAGATATGCCATAATTATTTGGTGTGCGGGTAATTTAGGATTGTTGGCTTAGCCAATTCCCAGATGTTCACATTCTGTTTATATTTTTTATTTCCTGTTTCTGGTCTGTTTTTTTTCCTCTGAGTACTAGCTTTTGCCCATGTGGATATTTGTCTATGATATATTTTGGAAATTAAATCTTAACCTATTTTTTTCAGTCAATATTTTTATAGTCCAGTTTTTGCCTCGAGTTTTTTTGGGGAGAGGAGGATAAAATATTTTTAAAATATATTTCTAATTAAATCTGCTTATCTGACAAAAGTAGTGTTTTCCATGATCTAATTTCAGAAATGTTTGTCAAGTCCTTGCAGGAACAATGCAGAGAAGAAAATCAATTATCCCCCTTATTAACAAGATATAGAGAAAACAAGAAATGAGAGAAAAGTGAATAAAAGGAAGTTCATAGCGGGCCTTTTCAAGAACTTGAAATACACGGTTTAAAATAAATCTTTAGTCCTCAAGGGAAAACATTACTTTTATAGTTAAGGAGTAGCTTTTAGTTTTATTTAATCCTGTGTTTTGTTAGAAATGTGGGAATTTTTAAAATATTATTATTAAATGAAGGTCTGCAGCCTTAGTATACAGTCTAGGATAATCTCCTCTCCCAGAGGGGGCTCTCATTCACTAATTTGCATCTTCCACTCTTCATACTGGGCATTATTGGTCATGAAGTCCAACTAGGTGTCCAATTAAAGGAATATCATTTCTAATATGTTATATAAAGCCTTTATTTAAATGTTTTGAGTTTAAATAAGGGTCCATCTGACCTTTCTGTTTGCGTAAATAAGTAAAAATAAGTGTGTTAACAGTTCTTATTTCTTGGTATTATGTAAGTTTCCCAAATAATTGAAATACATTCTTCAGCTCACATAGCTTATCTGTAATGCCAATTTTGCAAACCTAGTTTTATTGACTAGGAGATATCTCTTTGTCTCCCTTCATGTCTATCATAGTTATTTGGGCCTTTGCTGTGCCTTGCTTTAAGTTGTAAAGCGTCAGGTGCATTAGTACCCACTAATTAATGGGTGTGTAATGTAACTGTGGAGAGTAGAGTGGCCTTGAGGCACACTGAGCATCTTAAGTTGGGACACCCCTCCGGGCCGAGACTGATGATCCATTCCTCTGCTTGAGACAACTTGCCTGTGAAAGGGATCATATGATCAGATTCTTGGGGTCAGTCCTGCAACGCAGACGTTATTGAGTGTTTTCTGATGACTAATGTATACCTGAAAATGGTTCTCCACTGAAGTATTCTTTGAGATTGATATCAAACCACTGTTAATGCCAATGCCATTTATTTGTAATTTGCCTGCTATGTGGAGTGTAAGAACTTATTTTGAGATCAGGATCAGAATTTTGTACCACTTGTGTGGTATTTGTAGGATCTTTTTGAAAGGAAGCCTCTGCGGTTCCTTTGTTCAAGAAAACTAGTAATCCACCCATCCCTCTCCCTTTTGTTTACTTTTCAAATCATCTGGAAACCACCTAATACTCTTTCTAGGTGTCCTGGAGCTTCTCATCGGAGAGTTGCCTTAGAGAGAAGGAAAACTAGTAAAACTCAGACAGAGATTGAGAATGAAAATGGATCCACTATAATAGATCCTTCAGGTACTTTATCTCTAGAAACAGACTGTTTGGGGATGGGGACAGGCACAGGCACAGTGCCCCCTGAGCGGAATTCAACACCTGCATCTCTTCCCACTTGGACTGAAGAGCCTGGCTTGGACAACCCTGCCTTCGAAGAGAGCACCGGAGCCGACAGTACGTGCAGTTTATCTCTTCGTGTACTTCCTCTCTATATTGCCTTCTTTCCCACTACTATTCCAACACTTTGTCCTCTTTAAAAATATCACTTTGAGATGTAATTCACATACCACATCATGCACCCTTTTCAGTGTATAGTTCTAGCAATTTGCATTTTAGAAATAAAACATGAGTCTTACCCTGGAGGAAGGTGAACCTTCCCCATCCCTTTTCTCTAGTAATCCACAAATTCACTGGTCATTCACACAATTCTTATTATTCATGTGTATGTGTTCAGAAACTTGTTTGTCTCTTGACATAAGAAATCAACAATATCAAGAACAGAAACAAAAATGTTAGCTGCTATCAACTGCTTATTCTATGTCAGGCACTATATTGAGTACTTTCTATGTAGTTAATTAATGCTTAAACATCATTAGAAGATTAAGATTAAAAGGGAAAGCTTATATAGCCACTAGGTAGCTGGGGATTTGATATCTGACTTCAAGAACATGCTTCTAATCATCATTCACCTCTGGAGCTAACCACAGCTCTATCTGTACACCCCACCAGGAAATAAACGGAAAGCCTGCAGTTCTAGATCTTAGGCAGTCCTCTGCAGTTAGCCTTACATATTTTACTTCTAAAAATAATTTTCTCTTACAAACTACAAATTTTACTGCATACTCAAATTTTTCTGGCTATAGCTGTGGACCCTTTTCATCTCCTAAGACTCAAGATCTGCCTCTTTCTTAGGAGCTTGATAAGGCAAATTTCTTAACACCTGAGGGCTTATTTACTACAGAATTAGGGTTTTCTTTTTTCACTGCCTTGAACTATTTACACTGCTTCATGGCCTAGACTTTCTCTTCTCTTATTAGTCATGGCAAGATGATTTGTGTTAATGTTTCTTCATCAGATCATTCTTGTCAGCCCTAGTGATCTGATATGCAGTAGTTATTTGTTGATTATTTGCTGATCGCCTTTGGAAAGAGGAAATTTTAGATAATGTTAACATAGATTTCGTTTGTCATTACATTTCTTATCCAGTGGCATTGCTTTGTTATTATTAATCATCTGCATAATAACATGAGAAGCCTTATTGACCTGAAAAGAATCAGAATATAAAACATTTTTTTCTTTGTTTTTCTTCTCTCATTTTCAACTTGGCAGCTGCACAACAGCCACTTAGTTTGCCAGAAGGAGAAGTTACCACCATTGAAATTCACCGGTCCAATCCATACATTCAGTTAGGAATTAGCATTGTGGGTGGCAATGAAACGCCACTAATTAACATTGTCATCCAGGAAGTCTACCGGGATGGGATTATTGCCAGAGATGGGAGACTCCTTGCTGGAGACCAGATTCTTCAGGTATCAGTTTTAGTTTTTTCTGTTAACTTGGGCCTTTTTGTTCTTGTAAGTTTAAAACTTAGAAAATTATGATATTATGGAAATTGATAGAAAAGTTTTTCTATTTTCATGTGCAAAGTAGATCAGAGTTTATCTTTAATTTTTTCTGTATCCCCATATACTTTTACATATATATACACACATATATGTATACTTAATTTTCAGTCTCACATGTGACTGTATACACAGTACCAGGCTCTCTGGGCATGCTAGGTTCTTCCTGGCTTAGGCTCCATGACTGACTAGTCCAGGGTGACCTTTACCCAGGCTGAGATTTTCTTATCCATTGGTATTTCCCACACCCAGTTTTCCCATCCATCTCTTACTTTTATGTCTGTTTTATCTTTCTGTATATTGATTACTGACTATAGTCAGAACCACAAAACATTAGTTACTTTTTTTTTTTTTTTTGGTGGTATAGGGAATTGAACCCAGGGCCCATGAATGCTAAGAAAGTGCTTTGTCATTGAACGATACTACCCCAGACCAACTTACTTATAATTTATATCACAGAAATTTAAGACAGAGTTCAGAAATTTTAGTCATCTCTTACTGACTCCCACATACACTCTAAGAATTCTAACTGCATTTTTAATAACCCCTGATACAACTCTTTCTATTGTTCCAGAAGATTATTTTTAAGAAGAAATAAGTATTCCCAAAAAAACAATTAGCATAGACAAGATAATTTATTGGAGGGCATATTGAAACTTCAGAGATAGGAATAGTAAGAATTCTCTATACAATTGGAATTTATATGAAGACTGGTCTGGACATTTGAATCAGTGTAATGATATTTAAAGCTCAAAAAATGGAATAATTTCTGGAAAGATGAAATAAATACTCATGAACAAGAAAATCTGTCTCTTAAGAAAACTCAAGTGCAAGGACTTTTCCTTCTTTAGATTTGTTGTTGAGTCTAGCACCATGATCTTCAGATACCTACCTCGTACTTCCATTTGCTCTGGTGTAGGCTTCACTATTTCATGTCTGATTAGTAGAATACCCTACACACACACCCACAGTGGTGCTTTGGAGCCCATAAGTGAAGCTACCCACTTTGTCCAGAAGTGGAGAAGTAAAACACTTGTGGTCATTGAGAAGTGAAACTCTTGTGGGATGAGGATATAGCTCAGTGAGAGTGCAAGGCCTGGGTTGAACCCCTAGTACTGCAAAAAGAAATAAGTAAAAACCCTTTTTGAATGGTTTTTTCCCCCTGTTTGGTTTTTTGTTGTTGTTATTTTCTACTTCATATAAGCTGGATATGGGTAAACCAATTTGAAAATGCCCAAGAAGCAGTAAGATTATTTGCAGACCAGAGAGCTAAGCTCTAGTTTTATTTAAGCAAACCATGTGCAGCTAACAGTGGGTGACTTTGTTTCCCCCATAATAGATATAGACAAAGAGAGAAAGATACATATACATACATTTATGTTTCTTTATTAAAAGCCTCTTTGCAAAGGAGGACCATATGCTCTCAAGATCTTTTGCTGCTATTCACAAATTTATAGTTTTTAAAGAACTGCTTTTATAAGCTTTATCAACATCATTATTAAATATAATATAACTTTTAGAACATTAGTAAGAATAAGTATTTTAGTTTGACAAAAATTATTGATGATTTAGGTGTTTCCAGTTTTGAAGGAAAATAATTAGTCTTGTATTAATCACTTTGCTTAAAACGCGCGCGCGCATACACACACACACACACACACACACACACTCACTCTTAACCCAGAAATGTGGTAGAGTTTACTTTGCTGATGATGTTTTACAAAATCTAGAAGGAGCATTTTATTTGGTCTGTCTGTTCTCTGAATTTCACTGGCAGCCATGCATTCAAGAAGGATGAATCTTTTTCCAGTTGTAGGATATTTCTCAGTCTATTTCACAAAGAAAATATGAGACAGCATGTTTGCATGTGGCTGGAAAAAATAGTTGGATTTCAGCCAGATGTTTTGTAGAGTCCTTTATGATATGACCAAATTTGAGATGTGAACCTAGAAATAGGTAGCTTTTAGCTGATGAGTCCATTTCAGCCTAGTTTTGCAGAAACTACCTTAAAGTTCTGGTCTTGACCCATATTAGTCAACATTTCTATCAGTCTTGGATCACCACTACTAAGTGCCTATATGTTGCAGACTTGGGGAGAAGTTTATATGTGACAGCTATCAATTTGATGACTGAAGTTTAAAAGATGAAATTTTTAAAAAGAGGTGAAAAGCAATAAAATTCTAGTTAGTAGTGTTAAAGTTAGTAAAGTTCATCCCAGGAAAAAGAAACCAGCAAACCCCCAAAAGATAAATCAATCTCAGATAAATAGGAAAGGGGAGATCTGGCTTAACATGAATTTATATGAAAAAGATTTAAGAATTTCAGGTGATCACAAACACCTAACCCATAGCCTGCCCCAATGAAAATGTTCAGAGAATGTTTGTTTTAAGTCAGACCAATTCAAAGAATTCTAATTGTTTAACAAAAAAAAAACCCTAAAAATTATGATTATTTACTAGATGAATATTTGAAACTGGATGTATTTTCTAAGTGATCTTACACGTCCAAGGATCAGTCGCTATAATTATTTCAAGGTTGTAAAATTTAATAAATGATATCTAGTATTGAATTATGATTAGCGAGTTAGATATATACTTGTATACTAAAGAATTAAGAGTGAAATTTTAATTACCTACTTTTCTTAGAAAGTCACTCATCTAAAGTAGGTTGTGCACTTGGAATGTGCCATTTTCCTTAAAATAGAATTCAGATTATTTTCTCCGGGTTTAAGTGTACTTCATTTGGAAAAACAAATTTGTAACCCAGTGGAGCTCTGGTTTATCAGTTAGTATGCCAGAACCAAGGACTCTAATTCAAGACTATCATCAAAGCCTGTGATCCTAACTCCTATTCTCTATCCAGTTCTAGTAAGTTGATTTTAGAAACTGTATTTTTAAATGTCTTCAAATTGGTTTTCTTTATAAATAATGTAAAATGCTGTATAGCATTTTCACAATCTTGTTTCCATTGAAAGTGGCATACAAACATTTCTGCAAATTAAGAAAATGAAAGATTATTATGTGTTGATCCTAATTTTGTTTTTTTTCCCTAGGTCAACAACTATGATATCAGCAATGTGTCCCATAACTATGCCAGAGCTGTCCTTTCCCAGCCCTGTAACACTCTGCATCTTACTGTGCTGCGGGAGAGGCGCTTTGGCAACCGAGCATACACGCATTCTGACAGCAACTCTCCTCGGGAAGAGGTTTTCCATGTGGTTCTTCATAAACGGGACTCTGGAGAACAGCTTGGCATTAAATTAGTACGAAGGACAGATGAGCCAGGTGTTTTTATTCTTGACTTGTTGGAAGGGGGTCTGGCCGCCCAGGATGGCAGGCTTAGCAGCAACGATCGTGTGCTGGCTATCAACGGGCATGACCTGAAGCATGGGACCCCAGAGCTTGCTGCCCAGATTATTCAGGTAGATGCCGAATATTGAGCCTACAGTTATGACTGGTGCATAACATCAAAATTCAGGAAACATTTGATAAACTTTATTAGAAAAGATCAGACATGGCTACCTTAATTCTTCAAAATTCACACTAGTATAAGTTTTCTTGTAGACAAAGGTTGGTTGTTTTTTTTTTTCTATCTATAAGCTGTCTCCCTGTGTGAACTTTTGTGTGGATTCTTCACAGAATAAGCTCTGCAGTTCACAGTCTCATTTGATTGCTAGATTCCACCTAGTAAGCGAGATACAACAGAGAGCAGTGTCCACCTTTAATGAGGAGGAAGGTGGAGCTCAGGGAAACTGTAATTACCAAGGCTATGACTTAGCAGTGGTTTTTAACTTTTAACTCCCCTTAACTCCCCTTTTAACTCCCCTTCAGGATCTATATAAGTAAGGGGCAAGTAATATTTTAATAAGAAAAATCTTTGCATGGTGGCACATACCTATAATCCCAGTGGCTCGGGAGGCTGAGGCAGGAGGATTGAGAGTTCAAAGCCAGCCTCAGCAAAAGCAAGGCACTAAGCAACTCAGTGAAACCCTCCCTGTCTCTAAATAAAATACAAAATATGGCTGAGGATGTGGCTCTGAGTTCAATCCCTAGTACTCTCCCCCCCCCCCCCCCCCCCCCCAAAAAAAGAATAATCTTTCTTGGCCTGGTGTGGTGATGCACACCTGTAGTCCCAGCTTCTATTTATTTTCATTTAAGATGCCCATAACATTGTTGACAGAAAGATATAGACTAAGAATTTATAGGACAAGTGCAGTTGTATCAATATGTAATCATACATTTGTGGACATAAACATAAAAAAATGTTTGGAATGATGTTCTATAACATTAATGTGTTTATACTGAATGTGATTTAATTGTCTTATTTTCTATATTTTTCCTTCATTTTTTGTAACCCCAAAACAATAAGACTTTTGATTTTTTTTTTTCATAAAGGACCTTAAATTGAGCAACTTCAATTTTCCAGAGTTTAGGAAATTTTATACCACAAAATATGATGCCTTCAGTTATAAAAATTCAAATATGAAATATCAGGGAAAATTTTTAAAGTTTCTACTTGTATGTTACACATTCTACATTTTGGTTAGAAACTCATTTAAGATAACGAGTATTTAAACATTGCCTGTTTATGAGTGTGTTTAGAATATTTAAGTATTGACTGAGAAAATGTACAAATAATAGCGTATTCCTCTTATTAGTCTTCTTACTTCATAAAGTACACTTGACTTTTTTATTTCCTCAAATTCATGAAACTACTAGATTTCTTTTTTCTTCTTTCTTTCTCCTTTTTGTTACCTTCTCCCTCCCACCATTCTCCACTCTCACAAGATGAACTAGTTTTCAGCAGTATAGCAACTGGCTAATGTCCACAGAAATGAGTCTCAATAATATCTTTTCAAGAATTTTAAAGCTATCCAATTTCTTTAAACCTCAAGTCTATAAAATGAGACCAATACCTGAATCACCTCTCAGTGTGATAAAAGGGGTGAAGACTTAGATATTCTTATATAGTTAAATATTCATTGTTATTTGATTCTGTGTTGCAAATAACATTTCTCAGTGACTGTCGACCTGATGCTCAATTATAATGATGCTGGTTTTGCTTTATAGCTTTTTGTTGTGCTTACTTTAAGAAAAACACCTTTGTGTTTCACCTTTATCACTGTGGGGTATGGCCCCTATCATTAAATGCCACAGCATGCTGCAGAACCTATAGATCATCTCTGGATTTGCCCCCGCTGCTCTGTACAATGTTCTTCTTGAAAACATGTCTTCTCTCTAATAATGGCTGTCCCTACGTATTTCATAAGAGTATTAGAGAACACATTTTATGATGTGTTTAAAACAATTTGAATTCCTTAAAAATTGAAAAAAAGCACTAGTTTTCTTCCATGTTTTGTTTCTAAGTTTAAGTCATTTTGCTAAAGTCACTCCAGAAAGATCAGAAAGACTTTTATGAATGATTCTAGGGCTTTATCTGGGCAGTTGATGGGGAGGAAACATGCTGTTTTCATTAGCTAATATTTTAAAAATTCTGTGGTTGAAACACACATACACACCACACACACACACACACACACACACACACACACACACAGGTATGTAAGTGTTAAATTATTTTAGAGGTTCGTGACTGTCATTTTAAATCTGTTTTAAACATAGATTCATACCTATTATACTAATTTTTAATCCCAGCAACAAGGGCATTCACTCATGAATTGCAGTTTTGTGATTTGGACAGCCTACATTTTAATTTCTAATTATTTATTTATTTAGGTAGTAGAGGTTGAACCCAAGGGTACTTTACCACTGAGCTACATCCCCAGTCCTTCCTATTTTTTATTTTGAGGGTCTCACTGAGTTGCTGAGGGTCTTACTAGGTTGCTGGCGACTGCTCCCAAACTTGCAGTCCTCTTATTTTAGCCTCCCAAATTGTTGGGATTACAGGTGTACACCACTGCATCCAGCAGCACCCACATTTTTAAAATTTTGATTTCTAACAAAATGTTTGCTTTTTTTAAAACCCAAAAACATTAAATGCATCGGCTTTTGAAATTATACTAAACCCACATGCTAGTCATTTAAATTCTAAATGCACACTTCATCACATTCACAGAATTTTGTCTTTCAAACAATTTTTGAAAAAAAAAAAGGATTTGCTTCCATTAATAGGTGTGTATAAGCAGCTTACAACTAAAGTTGAAATACTGATTTTTGATTATAAAGTAAGCAGGAAGGAAAATTAGTCTGTATAATGAAATGAAATCCCAAAAGGAGTTATTCATCTCTTCACACAGTGCAATGTAATAATCTGTGATTTGTCAGAATTTTAAATAACAGGATTCTGAACACTTCTCCTTGGCATTTACCCTTTAAATCAAGTTCCTGAACTGCATGGAGATGCTGGCTGAATGTTATTCCTTTGTTATTTTGAAGAAATTGTCTGAAACTGTTTAGTTTAATAAAATGCTTAAATAACAAATGATTTGTAGTATGGTATTCAAATTGTTATTTATTTTTCAATTTAAAAGCTTAAAAAAGTGATTTCTTAATATTTTGACTTCAATCATGAGGAAGATTTCTACTTTTTATCACAATTTGTAAAATAAAGCTCTCATAATTTCCCATAGGAATAATAGTAAAATTGGGATTGTGGCCATGCCAAGAACAGACATCAAGTAAATCAGACCGGAAATTTTAAAATAAGAACAAAATAAATTTTCAAACATAATAGGTGTGAATCTCTGTTTGAATTAAGGTTACAGGCCTCTAAATTTAAAATGAAGGTCATCAACATCTAAAACAGTTTAATACGCACGTGTGTGTGTGTGTGTGTGTGTGTGTTTCAGCCACAGAAATTTAAAAATATTAGCTAATGAAAAGAACTTCATCCTCCCTGCCACTAGGTATATTCGGCTGCCCAGTTAAAGCCCTTAAACAATGATTGAGAAGTGCATAGTGTAATCTTTTTAAAATGGCAAACATTCTTCATGACAGTGTTTTCTCCTATGTGTTTCCTCCAGGCCAGTGGGGAGAGAGTGCAATTAACAATTGCTAGACCAGGGAAACCCCAGCCTGGTAACACCATCCGAGAAACAGGAAGTCACAACAGCAGCCAGCACCATGCACAGCTGCCCTCTCACAGCAGACCAAGCTCACATAAGGTGAGGTGGTTTTTGGTAATGTATGTTGTCCTCAAAGAATCACTGTTACAAGCTTATAAATTTTAAATGGAGGCATTTTATATGCAAATCATACCTCAATAAATGGATTTTTTGGAACAATTTAATTGCAGGCTGTTATTCTATTGAAAGTTTATATCTTGGAGAGTCACTTTCGTTGTCTCAATTCCTCAGCCACAAGAGATGGTTTCTTGGCAGGGAATGTTCCTCTGTCAAGTGGTTGACAAGAAGTGTATGATCTTCCAGAAAAATCTGTTTGCTTAGTATTACTTGAAAGTGAGATTTATCTTGGGTTGCTTATTTAACTGTAAGTATTAGTTATAAGATTGAAAAAGTATCAAAAAGATCAACATGTCGGTATTTAACAGTTGGGCACATTGCTTGCATAATAATTATATTTGTGAATATTAAACATGAATCATAAATTTAAAAAAATATTTTTAGTTGTAGATGGACATACTAACGTTATTTTGTTTATTTAGTTTTTTTTTTGTTGTTGTTGTTGTTGTTTTAAATGGGTGCTGGGGATCGAACCCAGTGCCTCATGCATGCTAGGCGAGTGAGTGCTCTACCACTGAGCCACAACCCCATCCTGTGAATCATAAATTTTGATAGATACATGAATAACATGTTTTCATGTGATAACTTAGAGGAATATTATCCTATTACAACATTAAAATTCCCATATGTTGAACTTTGTTACTGCTGCCTCCAAATTACTAAACTGGCTTTATAGTATATTCCAAGGTCATGTATCTGTGCTGAGAATTTTGATGTCTCACTTGGTAATTGCAAAACTCAAAAAAGAATGGTACTTTAGCATTCTTGGTATTATTTACTCCATGCATGCTTCCTTTAAACTAAACTTCCAGTTGGACAGGAATTTTAAAACAATGATGTAATGCTTACCCAGTTATCTGAACATGAAAGCTAAATAGGAGCTTCTAAAGTTATTCTTCTTAAGTAAAATTACTAAAGTCCTTGGCTTAACAAAAACTGATTGATCTGCTTAAAACCCATAGAAAGTTCCTTATCTGCTAAAGCAGCCTTTAAATTGAAGTATAACATTTGAGAGAATAATTCCCCTTAGAATCTACTGTTGATATCCTAAGAAAGCATAGTTGAAAGGCAGTATTTTTGGCCCATAAAGTTAATCTGGTTTTCCAAGCTAAGTACAAATGTGTCACTAGTTTTTGGTTTAGTTAATATTTAAGAGAAATTATAACCACAGAATTGTTCTCTTGTTTGAACAAAAACCAAAATGTATAAAGGAAACCTATAACTTTGCCTTCATAATGATGACTATGAAACAATACCTGTGACCATTATTGTTTTGAAAAAGATTTTGAATGTTTCATATATCTAGTTGCTTCCATTACTATATATTAATATATGCTTTAATATATATATAATAATATGTATATATAATATATGTCAATATATTCTTTTATATTTATGAAATGGTAATATAAAGCAAAAGATAATGAAATCTTTTATGCCTCTGATTTTTTTACATTAATTTTGAGACACAGATGTCTGACAAAATTAGAATGTCAAGACAATTTTGAAAATTCTATTTAATCATTCTAGTATTCATATTTTTAAAAAATTCATATTAATTTTTAATATTCATATTTTTATTTTTTGTTTTGGGCACAGATATGTTTCTTTCATAAATTTGCTGTTTTTTATCCTCATTAATTTTTATGTGACACTGTTTTAAAGAATAAGGCCAAATTCATTCTTAATTTTAGGTACTTTATATTCCCTCATTGGTTAGAACAACGACATAGAATGAATTATAAATTTAGCTGTTTTCTTCTAGCAGATTGCATATGTTATATCAGGATCTGATTAAGAAAAAGATCTCCCATGGAAACCAAATTCACCCAGATTCACCAAGACAACCTATTCAGATGGTTATAATCATCATTAAAAAGTACAGTACACACTACACCTCTTAATAGCTGCTTTGATAAGCATTTATATGATTTTGAACCTTTAGTTCCTTGAAGCATACTAAATATAATCTTTGAAGTTTGCTTTAGTTCCCTGAGGAAAAATTGCATACATTTTAGCCATCTGAAGCTATAAAACAACTGCCCTTGTTAATTGACTAAATTCATAAGGGTATATTTAAATAAGTGTACTCAAGGCTATTTCCCTTAGTTGTCTTCATGACCAAATTGTGTTTGGCCAGTTTTGAAGAATACTAACATAAATTTCATACCTTTAGATAGAAGACTACCTTAACAATGTTGACAAGTTCATAGCATCAGAATATTTTTCTAGGAATTCTATGCTGCTATACAAGTAGTTCCTTTGATAAATTTCAATCATGCATGGATTGCACGTCAATAGAAGGGCAGATGAGCTTAGATTTCCAGACTTAATTTAGAGATTTGGTAAATACCATCATCAACAGTTAAGTACATGTCAGCTTTTTAAAATAATATTATATATACTTTTGACATGTGTAAGTTCAAATCCTTGTGCAGTCACTTACAATTGCAGGTTACCTGATTTCTCTGAGCTTGTTTCCTCATCTATAAAATGGAGTCAGTAATAGTATTTACTTTCAACACCATTGTGAGGATTAAATGAAAGAATGCAAGCAGGCCACTAACTTTGCACATATTAAGCCTAGTAAATGTTAGTTATTATTTTAATATTGATATTGCATATGTATACCTTATTACTGAATTCTAATTCAAAGAACAGTGACATTTTAGATTCTCCTTTTTTCTTACTATCAGGAGTGTCTTGGTATGAATAACAGTAACAAATGTTAGTAAAGATAGCTTTTTCCTGCTGGGTACAGTGGCGCACACCTGTAATCTCAGCAACTCTGGAGGCTGAGGCAGAAGGATTACAAGTTCAAATCCAGGTTCAGCAACTTAGCAAGACCCTGTCAGAGTAAAAAAATTAAAAAGACTGGTGAGGATGTGGCTCAGCAATTAAGCAGCCCTGGGTTCAATCCCTGGTACCAATCAATCAATCAATCAATATTTTTTTCCTGAGAATATTGGTTCATTGGGAATTTATTTACGTGTCATTAATATTTTCAAAAATTTGGTTATTTTGTATCCTTTCAGCTTTTTATGAAGGTTTTGAAAGTAGATTTGCATTTGCCTCATGACCAAGCACTTATAGTCCTCATCAGTAAGAATCAGAAGATAGGTCTGTAGCCTTTTTTTTGGCAGTTTGCAAAATCCACACTTTACTTTTGTACTCTTCTGTTAACTTTTCCTACAAAGAATTAGGGAGAAAGATACAAGTAAAATTAATTGGCTTGTCTTCAGAATTTAAAACTCAAAAGCATTATTTACTTTTACAGAGTTGATCTATCTTGGAGCTCAAGATAATTATACAAATGATGTGTTGATATTTTTTTTTGACTTCCATATATCAACAGTTCTAAATTTTTTGAGTTCCATAAATACTATATAAAAATCAATTAGTTCAAAGTTTGACACTGATATTAAGTGTACCTATTAAGAACTATGTGTTGCTTTCTTTCAGTCGTTAGGGGTAAAAAAATAAAATCACTTTATAAATGCTACATAGGTATCACCTTGGTTTAATAAGCTGTTTTTACCTCAGCTATCTATTATTTCATTATTCAATATATTTTTTTTTCTTTTTGCTTTAGGATCTTACTCAGTGTGTTACATGTCAAGAAAAACATATTACTGTAAAAAAGGAACCACATGAGTCCCTTGGAATGACAGTTGCTGGGGGCAGAGGAAGCAAGAGTGGTGAACTGCCCATATTTGTGACCAGTGTACCACCTCATGGCTGCCTTGCACGAGATGGCAGAATCAAGAGAGGTAAGATAGGATCTGGAGCATTTCCACCAAATCTTATCCCTGATGAAGAGTATTTACAGGTGGTTATGGTGGCTCATACCTATTATCCCAGCTACTGGGGAAACTGGGGCAGGAGAATCAAAAGTTTGAGGACAGCCTGGAGGAAAAAAAAAAAAAAGCATGTCTTCAGAGTTTCCTATTAATGTCCTTGAATGTCCCTTGCATGTGATATCTTCCTATAGGGTTAGGTAAATACCCAATATAAAATAAAATTGTTGAGGGCTGGGGATATATCTCAGTTGGTAGAGTGCTTGCCTTGAATGCACAGGGCCCTGGGTTCAATCCCCAGCACCACAAAAAAAAAAAAAAAAAAAATTGCTGAAACTTAATAAGGATTCCAGAATTTACAAACTATTACTTTGTTGGATTTTTTTTTTTTTTTTAAATCCTCTAAAAGACCTATGCTTCAGCATTATGGCAGGTACTCTGAAGATTCATCTCATTAAAATATAAATGATGTTTGTGGTAACATATCTATGTAGAAGAGGACTCAAAGAGGAGGTGGGGCAGAAGACAATTTTATTTTAGGGACAAACTCACTAGTTTAAGTTCCTTCCCTATGCTCTGTAATTTGTATAGATGGGAAGGTGTAACTTATCAGTATTACTATTGATAAAAACAACAGTCTTTATTGACTTAGTTGTTCATATGGAAAGAAAATTTAGCCTAAAATTTGTTTTCCTTTAGACACCTGCCTCATACCATATGCAAAAATTAACTTATAGTGGATCCAAGACCTAAATTCAGAGCTAAAACTCTTAGGAGAAAACACAAATGTAAATCCTCATGACCTTGGATTGTGCACTAGTTTCTTAGATAGACACTAAGAGGTCAAGTCACAAAAGAAAAAAATTAGGGAAACTAAAAATTTGTTCTCCTTTAGACTCCTGCCTCACACCATATGCAAAAATTAACTTATAGTAGATCCAAGACCTAAATTCAGAGCTAAATTCTTAGGAGAAAACACAAATGTAAATCCTCATGACCTTGGATTGTGCACTAGTTTCTTAGGTAGACACTAAGAGGTCAAGTCACAAAAGAAAAAAATTAGGGAAACTAAACTTCATCAGAATTAAAACCTTTTATGCTGCAAAGACCACCACCTAGAAAGTTAAAAAAAAAAAAAAAAGAATGAGAGAAAATATTTGCAAATCATATATGTGTGTGTGTGTGTGTGTGTGTGTATAAATGATATATCTAGAATATATAAGAAACTATTCAAACAATAAAAAATAAACAGCCTAGAGAGACTGAAAGGTGATTAGTGGTTGCTTAGGTTTTATAGGTGGGGAGTGACTGCTCATGGGGTTTCTCAGGGGGTGATAAAAATGTTTTAAAAATTATTGTGGTAGTAGTTGCACAATATGCTACAAACCATAAAACAATGTATTTTTAATGAGCAAATCGAATAGTATGTGAACTATTATATCAAACTGCCTTGATATAATAGTTCACATACAACCACTACCACAATAATTTTTAGAACATTTTTATCGCCCCCCTTTTAAGTTATTTGTCCAGTTTTAAAATTGAGGTAATTTTAGTTCCTTGTATTTTCCAAGTTTTCTACAATGAGAAAGTTTGCCTTTAATAATCTGAAAAATAGATGATAAATTGGGAAAGGGGGATTTTTCTGTAGACTTTCTAGCACAAATGTCTGCTTCCTATAAAACTAATCCTTTATTTCCTAAGCTTTTCTATAATCCCCATCATGCTTTTTCATTATTATTTGGGAGAGCAACAAATATGTCTTTTCTCTCTCAAGCAAGGGAAAATGTTTAAATCACAAGTTTCTGTCGACTGGCCCAATGGTGTCTTCTCTGTACATGTTTTAGGTTTTTTTGCCCTGAGTGAACTATGCAGGGTTGTCTATGTATAGAACTGTGTAGGTATTAACTAGAATATATTTAAAATTTATTTCTAAAAAAGTAAAAGGTCAAATAGTTTTTGAACTGGAAAAAAAAAAAAAACTATAGAAATAGCTGAAATTCAAAGTAAAGAAATAAATATGCCCAGGGCCTGTAGATGACAAAACTCAAGTGAATGATTTGAATTTCCAATCATATCAAGGTGCCATAAGCCATACTTCTTTCTCTGTATTCTTTCTCTGTATTATGACATTATTTAAAATTTTTTAAATATTTATTTTTTAGTTGTAGTTGCACACAGTACCTTTATTTATATGTGGTGCTGAGGATGGAATCCAGGACCTCGCACATACTAGGCGAGCGCTCTACCCCTGAGCCACAACCCCAGCCCCGTTATTACTTTAAATTTTAAAATTTTGAACCATTTTAGAATGTTTTCAATGAATTGGACTTGTTATCACTGCTGTAAAAATTATAAAGAAGTAAAAAGTGACCTTTTAACCTTACCTGAGTTATTGAAACCTTTGTTGATTAGTTTACAGACAAGTTTTGTAGGGAAATGATCATTTGGTGACCAGAGGACATATATTTTGGTTTCTTCATTTGAATAGGTGATGTGCTGCTGAATATCAATGGCATTGATTTGACCAATCTGAGTCACAGTGAGGCTGTTGCTATGCTAAAAGCCAGTGCTGCTTCTCCAGCTGTTGTCCTTAAAGCACTGGAGGTCCAGATTGTTGAGGAGGCAACTCAGACCTCAGAAGAACAGCCAAGTACTTTCAGTGAGAACGAGTATGATGCCAGTTGGTCTCCATCCTGGGTCATGTGGCTTGGACTTCCAAGGTATTGATAGCTTTTTGTTGTTTTGTGGAGTAATACTTGCAGTCCTCTTCAGTGAAAATTAACATAGTGAACTTACCTCTTGTTGGGAGCAAAGGCTTTAATTAGATAAAAGTATCAACATCAAATCAGATTATTTTTTAAAATTTTTCCTATTACATTTTAAAAGAGATTCAATAACAAGAGCTAAGCTAAAAAGATTTACCTGCTTATAAAAACAAGGAAAGCAGTTCTGCCCATCCTAATTAAGGATCTCATGTATGCTGGCCATAAGTTTGGCTGTTCCAGTTGCTTGCTTAGAAAAGCTGCCATTACCAACACTCATTCTGATCTGTGCTTAGACTTCACATGCATCTTTCACATGAAAAACCAAGCTGGTGCTTGAGGCTATACCCTATTATTACAGGAGCCTTTTTAAAAGTCCCTTTTTATCTTTCACTAAAAAGGCAGGATTTGGGGGTTTTGTTAGACACACAAATTTCAAAGCCAAAGCATTTTATTTTTAGCTATTCCACCTTTTTAAAGAGTCTATTGTTTCGTAACTGACTTTGACCAACCCAAAACATTCTGTAGTTGGTTTGTGTCAGGGTCATAGAAGCACATGGAACCTCCAGTGACATCTTCCTTCCTCTGGATGGTTGTTCTTGGTATTAAGATGGCAAGAATGTATGTTACTATCTTTAGTTTCTAAATCAGTTTCAATTCTTTTTTTTTTTTAATTCTTATTTTTTAGGTGTAGATGAATACAACACAATGCCTTTATTTTTATGTGATGCTGAGGATTGAACCCGGGCCCCACCCGTGCTAGGCGAGCACACTACCGCTGAGCCATAATCCCAGCCCAGTTTCAATTCTTACTGTATAAAAAGTCTAAAAGTGAGCTATGATGAAACATTTTGACTCTTAACCAAATATAAAAATTACTGTCTTTAAAAAAAATAAATAAACAAGACAACTGTACCAGTTTCTGGACCATCTGATTCATGTGCAATAAAGTTATAATAACTAGTAGTCATATAGTGCTTTATTGTTTGTTTTTGGTTTTGGTATGGGGATTGAACTCAGGGGCACTTAATCACTGAGCCACATCCCCAGCCCTTTTTATTATTGTATTTTGAGGTAGGGTCTTGCTAAGTTGCTTAGGGCCTCACTAAATTGCTGACGCTGGCTCGGAACTTTCAGTCATCCTGCATCAGCCTCCTGAGATGCTTGGATTATAGGTGTATGCCACTATGCCCAGCTCCTAGTGCTTTGTAGTTTATAAAATACTTTCACATAAAAAATATCAGGGAAAAAAGCACAAATATTATTGGATTTTATTTATTGCTAACCTAACTGGCTTGTTCTCTTGGTTAAGAGGGGAGCAGGGGAGACAATTAAAGGCCTAAAACTGGAGTAGAATTCATGTCTCACAGACCTGTAGAGATCTTGTGAAGAAAGCTTTTGGGGTTTTTTGTTTATCTGTCTTTGCATCAAAGATGATTACATCATATATGTTTATTCCGTGCATCAGAACTGATTTTTTTCCCCCATTGGAAGATAAACAAAGACATCATGGCTGCTGTTAACTTCCTACAGAGCTACTATATAAATTGTGAGGTTCCAGCTGTCAGAGGGAACTCATTTATCTTGTTCAGTTCTCAAACTGATACCTGAACCTGTCCATGTAAACCTAGAATGGCAGGACCAGTGGATGAGAAGCCAGCTGCCCAAGCTGCACAAGTGCCAATGAGTGCTAGAGAGCTGCTGTGCCCCCTGCTGATGGAGCAAGCAGAGTGGTGACATCCTTGGGAAAGGCACTGGACCTAGTGCTTCCATTAATCGTCCTTGTCTATTATGCAAGTCTAGTTTTGGGTTCAGCATGTTCACATCTTTGTAAACAGAATTTTCTTATGTGTCAAGCAGAGTAAAAAAGGTTTGGGATGAGAAATAGGCTGTATAGTAAAAATCTATTTCTGAGCCCACCTGTATTGAAGGAAAACCCTTTGAACAAAAGGCCACTATTGCATGGATTTACAGAGGTCCCTGTTGTTCATGGACTTACATTTAATAGCCATGCATCTTCCTTTGTGGGTATAGGTAGCCCCTATGAGCAGATTTCATGCCACACAGAGTTGCAGCTCTGCATTTCCTGAAAAGGGAGACTCTTCTGCTCTTCTTTGCTGGAAGCATACCAGAAAACTATTTTTTTGTTTGTTGAAGGAGATTCAAAATAATAAAAATAATCTTCACTGTTCCTGAAAATCAGGCCAATGAATAGGATCTTTCTCCATCTCAGAATCCTCTTTAAAAGTCCTTGTCAGTGAGCTAAGAAACTAGACTGGAAACTAGATTAGAAGTTTTGACATATGTATCACTTTACAGAAGTAGCAATATTAAAAAATCTTATTTAATATATTAAAAACAAGAAATCTTGCCCTATATTTCTATAGATCTGATTTCACTTAATAATGAAAGATATTTTTTATTACAAAAAGATATTTTTCTATAATTTAAAAAAATAATTTTTTTTTCAGTTTTTACTTATTGCTTATTTTCACATCTATAGAACTGTGAACATATAAGTAGATTTTCCCCCCCTCACTGGACAACATTCTCCAAACTGGCAGTAACATTTTAACAATAGCATCTCAGTGTTAGTGATATAAAAAGGAAAGACATATTTTGGGGTTAGTATTTTCCAGTCTAAGTACTGTTTGGGGGTTTTTTTGTTTGTTTGTTGGTGCCAGGGATTGGACTCAGGGCACTTGACTTGACCACTGAGCCACATCTCCAGCCCTATTTTGTATTTCATTTAGAGACATGGTCTCACTGAGTTTCTTAGCACCTCACAGTTGCTCAGGCTGGCTTTGAACTTGCAATTATCCTGTCTCAGCCTTCCAAGCCACTGGGCGTACAGGTTGCACCACCATGCCCAGCCTATGTACTGTTTTGACTTTAGAGTCTTCCCTTAAAATGAAAACATTCTGAGTGAAAAAAGAACAACAAATAACTTCTCATATGAACTGCTAATAGGACCTGAGGTGGGGCTTCTGGGAGGCAAAAGATAATTGTGTACCTGAAGCTTTTGGAAAGCTTCAATAGTGGTCATTTTCTTCTTTTATTTGGGAGTTGAGAGTGACAATACTAGATGTCTTTTATACCAGTTTGTGATTATTATAAATTCAAGTGATTATTAAGGATGTTGTTAACAATACAGTGAGCAAATATAGGCACATCATCTTTTCTTTTTTTACATATTCTGAGGTGTCATCAGTAATCAGGTATATTTAAAGCTTCTCTGAGTGCATGTGTTTATGTATACAGCTTCACTTGGGAAGAGGAGACTGAAAAAGACTGGAAAGATTTGAGTCTATCTAGGACTGCCTCTGTGCTGAAAAATGGGTGGTCAAAGTTATGTAGTTGGGGCCGGAGGTATAGTGCATTGCTAGAGCACTTGCCTGTCATGCACAAGGCCCTGAGCTCAATACCCAGCATCAAAAACAATAATAATATGAAAAGGAAATAAAGTAACTTTCTCTTTTTTACCAAGAGTGTTGTGTATACCATGTTGTGGAGTTTTAGCAACGATAAACAGGCTATCTATCACAGACTCCACTTTAACTTTTTCTCTATTCTTGTGTTTGTTCACAGCGCCCTTCATAGCTGCCATGATATAGTTTTACGAAGAAGCTACTTGGGAAGCTGGGGCTTTAGTATTGTAGGAGGATATGAGGAGAACCATACCAATCAACCTTTCTTCATTAAAACCATTGTCTTGGGAACTCCTGCTTATTACGATGGAAGATTAAAGTGAGTGGTGTTCTCATTAATGATGGAATTTGTGTTTGTTAAGCTAGACATGATCTAGCCCAGGGTTTAGTACCCAGTTCAGCCTGCTCTCCATTTTTGTAAATAAAGTTATTGCAAAACAGCCATGCTTATTTATTGATAACGTCTATGGCTGCTTCCATACAGACTTGAGTTGTTGTGACAGAAACCATATGACTGAAACTTTGTGTGATTCATAAAACCTATAATATTTACCATGTTTCCAGAAAACATTTGCCAACCTTGTCGAGGCCGGAGTACTATTTTTACTAACTTATCTCTTAAAAGCTGTATTTTATTAATCTAATGACCAGAACTGAACCTGAGTCATTTGATTGAATATATTGTGACATGATGACAATCTCTGAGCAGTTTTTCCACACAGACTACTTAGGTTTAGTCCTGTCATTAGATGACTATTTTATTTTTCTACCTGAAACATCAGGCAGATATTTATAAGAACTCCATGAGGGAGGATTTTTTTTTTTTTAAACCAAGGATTGAACTCACGGGCACTTAACCACTGAACTACATCCCCAGTCCTTTTTATTTTTTACTTTGAGATAGGGTTTCACTAAGCGGCTTGAGACCTCACTAAGTTGCTGAGGCTGGCTTTGAACTTGCAACCCTTCTAACTCAGCCTCCTGAGCTTCTGGGATTACAGGCATGTGCTGCCATGCCTGGGGAGGGAGGAATTTTGTTGCATTTATTGTAATGTCTTGAGCAGCTCCCATAGCAGTGTCTTGCATGTAGTAAGATCTCGGTGTATATTTGGTGAATGAATGTGCAGTAGTTTACCATATGCCAGGCATAGTGCTAAGGGCTGTGGGTGCATCATTTAATCTTAACACTCCTGGAATGTTTTACAGACAAACTAACTGCTTAAGAAACTTGCCCACAACCAGATAGCTGAAAGCAATTGACTGGCAATCAAACTCAGGATTGCCTGGCTTCAGACTTCTGCTGACAGCCGCCACTAGACCTCACCCAGCCAGCTTTTCTATTTCAAAGTTTAGGCACTGGGAGAAGAAAGGAAAGTGTCATGTCAAAAGATTATCACCAAGAGGAAGGAAGAGGTGCTCAACTGTAAAGTCTTAGTACCTAGTTTTCAATGGAAGAACCTGGTTTTTTTTTTTGTTTTTGTTTTTGTTTTTTTAAGTAAATATATTCTTCTGTGTGCAGTGATACACACCTGCAATCCTGGCAATTCAGAAGACTGAAACAGGAGAATGGCCTCAGCAACTTAGACCCTGTCTCAAAAAATAAAAAGGGCTGGGAATGTGGCTTAGTGATAAAGCACTCCTGGGTTAAATCTCTAGTCCCACCCCCCCAAAAAAGTAAATGTATTCATACTAGACAAAATGCTGAACATCGGTAGTTTATACTGTTTGCAAAGAGGAAGAGACACTTAAATAATATTGTGAAAAGCTAATCAAAAATATGCTCCAGATCAGTCTCTATTGATAAAGACGAAAAAGGTCATCACTTTAGGATGAACAAATGAATTAATCATTCTCTTCAACTAAATTATCTGCCAGGCCTCAGTTACTTAGTTTATTGATTTTTACCCCACCTACTTCTAAAAACGAAATTCATATTCATATTCATGTTGTTGTAAACTAAAAGTGAAACAAATCAAGGATGATAATAAAAGTTGTTACAAGGATAAAAAAGTCCTCAGATTTGTCACCCACTTTATACTTGGAGGACAATGAGTATTGTAGCTGAAAGAAGAGGAAGTATGAGTCTTATTCGAATAATTTAATCCTCAGGTATATGAGCTCTAAGAATAAATAGAGAAATAATAATCAAAACAATAACTAGTGGGCTAGGGACGTAACTCAGTGGTAAAGCACCTGCCTAGCATGTGCACAGCCCTGGATTTGCCCCCAGCACCACAAAAATTAAAAAAAAAAAAAAAAGTGTAATAATAACAGTGTCCAACATTCTCCAAATGCATCATTTGGTGTTTTTATTTATTTAGAAAAGAGTACACACTGATTCTCCTTGTTGTATGCCTAAGCTAGTATGTGAAAATTATTCTACTTGTTCTTCAACTCCACCTATTAGTTATAAGAGGGGTTAATACAGGGATATTCTTGATTAGCCAGGGAAAGCCAGAAAGTATATGTTTTAAAAATTTTCCAGATGGTTCTCAAAATAGATAATATACTATTGTTGTTGACAGTAAACCCATAAGTAAAATTGAGATTTTCATACTGAACAGTTGGGATCTTTTACATGTCCTTAAAATAATAACATTGTTTCTGTTTCTATTTGTCTTTAACCAGATGCGGAGACATGATCGTGGCAGTAAATGGCCTCTCAACTGTGGGCATGAGCCATTCTGCACTGGTTCCCATGTTGAAAGAACAGAGGAACAAAGTCACTCTGACTGTTATTTGTTGGCCTGGCAGCCTCGTATAGAGTTTTGGTTTCCAGTCTTGCCTCTTCATTTTTAGGTTTTTGAAAGAAACCCCGTTGGTTTCATGTGTTTCTGTTTGTTAGGAGCTACTGGCACAGCTGGTATATGCAGAGCCAAAACCCACAAAGATCATCCTTTCATTTTCGTTTAAAAGGTTTCCTGAAGTTAGTTACTTCTGCCAACCCTGGTGAGTTTATATTTTCAGAATTCAGACTCTTGGTGGTCAAATTGTAACCTACAGTTACAAACTGTGACCTAGCCAGTTGGATAAAAGTGGTGGTTCTTTGTTTTCAGTAACTAAATCATAAAATGAGTTCTATATCCCCCAAGATCAGTGTCAGTGCAGCCACTGACAAAAGCATTTACTGCCTCTGTCATAACCATTAATGGCTGGGTACATTTTAAGTTTGTGTGATAACAGTTGCTCATTTTTCATTGTTATCAACATTTCAAAACGTCACAGTTTATAAAGTGCTTTTTCTGGTTTGTTTTATTTCTACTTTAATCTCTCAGTATTTGTCAGTGATGAAGATATAAGTCTGACACTATGATAGACTTTTTTTAAAAATAATGTACCATTATTAGAGTAGTAGAGAATAAAACATAATGTTATTTGTTATCCAGAGACAAAGAAATTTGGGTGGTAATTATAGCTTAGTGCTGGAGATATAAAGCTGCATTTACTAAAACAGTCCAAAAGCATTAAAGATTAATTTCCAAAGGAACATTTTGCTATGTAGGAAAAATTTGAAGCCGTTTTTGCTAAAAAACATTTCTAGAGTTTGTATTATATTTATCAGTAATCTTGTCTGGAAATGTTTTTGTGATTCATGCAGTTAAATTAGATGATAAAGACCATATTGCTATTAAATACGTATATATGTATCACAGCTGAGTAGGAGAAGGGAGACCTTTTTTATTTTATTGAGATAGGAACTTTTCTTTCTTGAGTGTTTTAGAAACTTTAGTTTTCCCATTATTTCTTAAGAACTTATTGTTTCAAGTAAGAGATTGAAAAACTCATTAAAAAAAAATCTGAAATAGTAGGTTTTAGATGTTAATGTCTGTCAGTCTACTCTTGGTCACTAAACTTTCATATCTTGGAAATGTTTTTGAAAACTGTGCTTTATTCAACATGATTGTTCTCTAGAGAGTACATAAGGAAGTGAATAAGAAAGATATCTTTACCTTATTAATCTTATGCATACTTGAAAAAAGTTTCAGTTAGAAACCTAGTTCAGAATCTGAGCTAATTTATAAGTGACCTCTGTAATAAATGGTATTGATAATCAGAGAATGTATTTCAAAATATCACAGTATATTAAGAAGCATGATCACTTTATTTTCAAACCTAGCTATTGCATTGGAGGAGTTTATTGTATGTATAGCATGTCACTGATTATTCCAGTTAGTTTTATAATGATTTTTTAAAAACATATCTCTTTAGAGTAAATAAAAATTGGCGACAGTAATTGCTACTGATTTGTTCAACCCCTTAACTGCACTGTATGGTCAACATGTAACCATGATACAGTGGAATGCCCCATGCAGTATATTACTGTTATGCAATGATTGGCTTTTGAAGCAATTTGATATTGAAGTGCTTTGATATTCTAATTGACATGGAACAAGTTTTTTTCCTGCTTCCCAAATAGAATTTTGTAACCAACTTTGCTATTTTTTTTAAACAGTTTGTAAGAATGTGTCATTTCTTGGGGAGAGGCCATCCGTCAACAAATATCATAACTGCTACTTTGTTATATATAAAATACTTATATTGAACCTGGTGGTCTAATGAGTCTTTAGGTAGAAGATTTTTTTTTTTCAATATTATTTTTTATCATGGAAATCTCAGAATCAGCTTAAGTATAGATTTCATGAGAAAAGACTAGAGCTTTTAGTCAGAATGATATTTGGTGATGGAAACTTGTTCATAATTTATTGCTACTGTGGAAATATTTGCATTTTCTCATTGAATCTTTTACAGTTAAATATTTTGATTTGTTCTGTGCCTTCAGTTTAAATTATTTCAGGACTTTTTTGGACATGTTTAAATAATGGTATGATAATCATTCAGGATGGAAATAAAAGTCATCCTTTCCATAACAGCAGTACTGTCTCTTTTCTTGAACAGCAAATATTAACTCAATCAGGAACTCTTATTTTTGTTCATGGCCCTTCCATTCTTAAAATAACACCAGGCCTGAGCCCTCAGGATGACAAGTGTCCCTTCCTACTCTCATTCCTGCAAGTAGAACACAGGTGATAGAATATGTATTGACTTGTGAATTTCATCTCTGCAGGAGCTCTAGACTACTTCATTATTCAATGAGACCCTGAAATGTGAGCAGTGGTACATGTTGAAAGATAATATATAATATCTTGAATACATTGGATTATAGAATATTATTAAATTAATGCCATCAGTTTTTTACATTTTCTAATGTGGTTTAGTAGGAATTTTTTATTTTATTGCATTAAATAGCAAAACTTATAAAATTTCAGTCAAACTCACTAATCCCCTCACCCTTTCCTTGACACAGCATTTGCCAGGGCAGGTAATCTTGGCATCATGGTTTCTGTTCTTTAGATGGCTTTGATCATCCTTGCAACGTTTTTGTTTGTTTGTTTGTTTGTTGTTTTTTTTAATGGAAAAAAAAAACAGATAAAGCAGGTGTGGCTCATTGGTAGAGTGTGTGCCACATGTGCTTGAGGCCCTGGGTTCAATCCCAAGCACCACACACACAAACACATATAAGCACAAAGAAATAAAATTGGCTCCCATTTTCCTTTTAAACTTGGCGTACCCTGTGGTTTGATCTCTAGTCTGGCATTCCAGATGGCTCCTCAGTCCTATTGACCCTCTGATACTCCAGCAGGCTCCTCAGACCCCCAGTTCCTGGCCTCCCAACACATGCATATACTGTTTCCTCAAACTGTGAGACCTTCCCTTCTCTGCAAGGTCAGGTTCCCACATTTGAAGGCCTGACTTGAGTCTGCCCTGCCTGTCAGATGCCGCTCCCCTTTGCCTGCTTGCCTCTGGATTTGCATTTAATCTGCCTCTATCACTTGCTATTTAATTATTGTCATAGTTTTAAGCACCTTCTTTATCTGCCAACTTGTAGTGTGGGGTATTCTCCCAATGCCCTAAGTCTAGCTCCCATGATCTATTGGCTCAATATCCTGTTATTCGATGGCATCTACTTCCCAAATAGAAATGTGTAAGCATTTGACAACCTCCACTCTTTGAATCCAAACCCTTAAGCCTATCAGAAGTCCTTTCCTAAATTCCATCTCTGGTCATATTCTTGTCCTATTTGAAAACCATCAGTGTTCTACATGGTCTACAAGATACCATGCAAATGGCTTGGTAATCTGGTCCTGCAGTCTTATGAGACACCCTTTCTTGCTTAATGTATAAACCATCCCCCTCACTCACCCATCTCCTGTGTCCGCAGGGGCTGATTTGGCCCAAGTGACCATCTTCTGGGAAACCTTTACCAATGTCTCTGGGTAAATTTTTTTTTTACTCTTGTAAAGGCTTTATTGAATTCTGTTTTTATGGTCATAGTTGTACAGTAGGGAGACAAAAACTTGCCAGATAGTTTCTTGATTACCCCATCTGCAGTTGTTTTTTAAATTAGACAAAGGACTGAGGACAGTAGAGTTCGTGCTTGGCGTACCTAAAACGTTCCATCCTTAGCACTGCACATACATATTCACAAAAAAAAAAAAAAATTTCAATAGCAAATGTCAGATTCAGTCCCCTCTGAAGAGATTCCAGGGGAAGACTCTAGGCCTACTGTCCTTTTTCTATTCCAGGACCCTACATTACATTTAGTTGGCATGTCTCCTTAGGCTCCTCTTGACTGGGCTGTTTTCTCAGACTTTCTTTGCTTGGGAGCATCCCAACAGTGTTGAAGAGTATTGGTCAGGTAAATGGTAACTTGCCTGTCATTAGAACTTGCTGTTTTGTTTTTGGTTTTATTTTGTCATGGTTAAACTGCTATATAAGCATTTGGGAAGAAAATATCTGAGAACAAATGCCATTGATCTCATATCAAGGGTACATACCATCAACATGACATCTGTTTTGTAAAACTGAGCGGGTGCAATGACATCTCACTGGTTTCATTTTACATTTCCCTGGTTACTGGTGAAGTCAAGTATCTTCTCCATGTTTGCCAGCCATTCAGATATCCTCTGATGAGCAACCATTTTCTCATGGGCTGTTTGTGTTTCTATTATTGGCTTATAAAAATTATTTATTCTGTATATTATAACTAGCAGATTATATGTGTGCAACTGTCTTCTCCCAACTCATGACTTCTCTTTTCAAGTTTGTAATGATATGATAAACCAATGTTCCTCATTATTATATTGACAGAGGTATAAATAGCAGATAAGCAGATTGTTTTTGTCTACTTTTACAATTTCTTCATCTGCCAGAGATTGTCCACTTACGTTATTCTGATGATTGTACTTTTTCCTTTCATCTTAATTTTTGCTTTCAATTTACTCTGCCTTTCTGTGCTTTATGATTTCTTCTACAGAATTATAGATATGTTTCTCTTATCAGTTACCCTTGAATTTTTCTTTGTGCATACTTAACATAAAATCTCACCTTGATCACTCAGTTACTCTGCCCTTTCTCTGTAGTATGAGAGCCTCAGACTGTATGAACTACAAATGCTATACTGTCTGACTTAGCCATGGTTGTAGCTTCTCTTTATTCTCTTGTGCACTTGACCATTATTACATGTTATATATTCATGGTTTGGCTACATTTTGTTTCTGAACTAATCAAACTATTGAAAAACAGATACAAACACATCGAGACAGGCATAATAATAACATCCCACAAAGAATATGTGCAAAACAGGCTAGAATGGGACTGGTGGGAACTCTAATCCAGACAATGTGGAGTTTGGCAATTGCAGTCCAGACCTAAGAAGAGATTTCCTAAAAACTTGGGATGCAGGGCTGGGGTTGTGGCTCAGTGGTAGAGCGCTCGCCTAGCAGGTGCGAGGCCCTGGGTTTGAACGTCAGCACCACATAAGAATAAGTAAATAAAATAAAGGTATTGTGTCCAACTACAACTTAAAAAAAAAAAAAGCTTGGGATGCAGTGTCACTGTTACCATTAATGCCAAGATCCAAGCTTTGGGACTCACTAATGTAATTTTTCATTTTCCAGCAGGGAGACAAGGGCAGTCCTGCAAAGATGACTGTAATCTATTTTTCTAGAGCAGATGCAACTTACATTATAAACCTAGAAACATGTTTTTGTATGAAAAAAATTGGAAGGCAAGTGCGTAAGCATTTTGTAACTGTAATAAAATACTTCAGATAATCACCTTTAGAAAAGGAAAGATTTATTTTTGCCTCACAGTTTCAGAGGTTTCAGTCCATGGTCAGTTTGGCCACATTGTTTTTTTAGGCCTGTGGCCAAGCAGTATATCAGCAGGGAATATGAGGTAGAACAAAGCTGCTCACCTCATTTTGGCCAGGAAGCAAAAGAGAAAGACAGGAAAAGAACCAAATCTAACATCTCCTTTGCAGACACCAACTACCACCACCATGAGCTAAACCCTCCCACTTGGCCCTACCTCTTAAAGGGTCCACCATTTCCCAATAGTGCTGCATGCTAGGATCAACCACTTAACACACTGTCTAAACCATAGCCTCAGATTCAGAGGATTTAGGTTTCTCAAGATACATGCAATGTGACTAGGTTTTCAGTCTTCCCTCTTTATCCTAGCAGTTGCTCTTTTCTCAGTAGAAGACCCTAAATCCTTCTAATTCTATTGATATAACTTCAGAACTTGATTTTCATTTTTTTGTATGTTAAAGTAGACTAGAGCTTTACGATTTCTGGAATGTTGGAAGCTTTGGTCAGATAAATGGATGGTTAAAATGGTTTGAAGTTAGCACACCTGAATTTCAGCTTCCGTGTAATGGTATGATCATGCCCCATTAATTCAGACTTAACTAAATTGGAATTTAAAGGGCTTAAACAGAATTGAAGTTTACTTGTCACTTTTTAAACAATAGACATCTTAACATACTAAAAAAGGAAGCATGGAGTAGCTGAGCTGTATGCTGAAGTACACTGTTTAAACTCAAGTTTCTTAAGCACTTGAAAAGTACCCTTGAACATTCAGTGATTGATGGACTTCTTTCCCATGTAGTCACTTAAACAAGATGTATATAGCACCTATTGTATATACAGAACAGTGATAGCCTCTTTATCACTTCTTCACAACCTCTAATTTCATAATTCAGATGAGCTTCCATTTGTCCACATTTGGTGATGAAACCTCATAGATGACACCAGCACAGGAAACTGCTGCCCTGGTCACAGACTAAGAATTCACAAATTGAACTTTCTTTTTTGTTTTTTTCTGTTAAGTCTCTCTCCCTGGCCTACTAAAAGAACGATTTCAACTCCTCGGGGTTCTTATTAAAAAGTTCTTACTATTTTATGGTGTGAATCGATTCCATTTAACTACACTACCAATTAATTTCTATGACAACACAAGATCTTTTTTGAAGTAAAGTTCTACAGGTACGCACAATGCCTAATAGCTATAAAGTGCCTAAATAAGAAATACTAAAACTTCAGTCACATTCAAGAATAAAAGACATACTCAGAGACCTAACACCATCCTGGCAGATGGCAGAGAAGGGCTCACCAGGAAAAGGCTCCATGGGAAGGGGGAAGCACTGATTTTCCATTTGACTATATTAGCTTCCTCAGCAGGAAATAATACCTTGAAGACAAGCTGGTTAGCAAACTAATATCAACACTCGCCTTGTCTCTTCAAAAGTTTTCCATTTAAGGGTGAATCCAATGGTAAGCCCTTGGGGTTCCGAAGACTCATCAAGAGAAGAGATTGCTTAGACTCTGATAGAGAGAAACAATTTGCAATGTTGAGTTTGGGAGGGTGGAAGCAGCTGATGAAAGTTTTTCTTTACTTTGGATTTTATCCCAAAGCTTTCTTTCACCACTTAACTCTAGAGCTAATCTGGGAAGGCCGTAGATGTTAGGGTGTGGTGACATGGCTGTGAGCCTCTTCCGCTCCACAGAAGCAACACACCAGAGCAGG